ACCACAGGATCCTGGGTTCACCAGAAGGCCATCATCCATCTGGGGATGTCAAAACTCCTCCCCCCTCAAAATGTCACTTCAGTCTCGGGGCAGCGATAAGAATGTAAGAACATAAGAGAAGCCATGTTGGATCAGGCCAGTGGCCCATCCAATCCAACACTCTGGGTGCGTTCAGACGGGTATTTACAACGGTATAGGTGCCGGTTGGAATCGGTGCACTTACCAGCGTTCACACGGCGAACATCTGCCCTCCGTCCCTAACCGTTGCAAAGAGCTTTACACCGTTGTATTCTGCCACTAGGTCCCCAAGTGGTGGTATCCTGAGTGCAACGGATGTAATCACTTTACCCCCCTGTCTGATCGCTCTCCACCGTTGTAGAGCCACTTCCATTCGGAAGCCTGAGGCTTCCAATTTTCGCCCGCCATTTGTTTTTTTAGGTCGGCGATATGCGCTTGAGAAAGCTTCACCCCGGCGTTTGTTTAAAAAAAAAAAAAAGGAAAAGGTCCTTAGTTTAACGTTTTAGAGGAGTCCGAGACCTCAGGGAGGCCAGTTTGCTCTTTAAACTTTAAAGGTAAGTCCTCTTTTCAGGGCATGCTTTTCTGGACGGGGTGTTTTGCACATGCGCGAAGATCGCCATTCTGTGGATGGCTGCCTATGCGCATGCGCAAACTGAGTTTAAACAAACAAACCGCCGACGCCCGCTGTGTGTGAACGGGCATACAGCGATGGGCTCCGCAGACAGGAGATAAGTGTGATCGCGTTTCAGCTGGCATAAACTGCAACGGTTCCAACCGGTACAGTTTATGCCGGCTGAAACGCCCCGTCTGAACGCACCCTTTGTGTCACACAGTGGCCAAAACCCAGGTGCCATTGGGAGGTCCACCAGTGGGGCCAGAACTCCAGAAGCCCTCCCACTGTTGCCCCCAAAGCAACAAGAACACAGCGCATCACTGCCCCTGACAGAGTGTTCCATCTGTACCTTGTGGCCCATAGCCACTGATGGACCTCTGGCTCCATCTGTTTATCCAATCCCATCTTGAAGCTGTCTATGCTTGTAGCCGCCACCATTTATTGTGGCAATGAATTCCATGTGTTAATTACTCTTTGAGTGAAGAAGTACTCCCCTCTGAGATGTGATGCCTGAAGATCTGATGGGCCTTGTGCAAGTACTGGGGCTTCATCCTCTCCCACCCAGTAACTGTGCCATGGTTCCGGTTACACTCCTGTCCCTTTTGACGGCCCCGGATACCTTTTCATGGGATAACCTTCAGCACCCATCAGAAGGAACCACAACCATTATTCCCAGGACACACTACTCCTTAAGTTGGGGCTCCAGGTTTCTCATCTGCTGGGAGGGACCCTAAAACCTCTGAGTGGAAACCACCACGGATGCCAGTCAGTGCATGCTGCCATCACCTAGTCACCCCCCCAAAAGTGGCACGACCTGGAAAACAAGGCAGAGAGAGAGAGACCTCACTTGTGCTACTCTCCTTCCAGCCCTTGACAGACTCTCGTGCCCTCATCCTCACTGGCCACAAATGGTCAACACCAAGTCAGCCCTCAGGGAGCTACAAGGTCTCAGTCCCCCAACAGAAAGCAACTCTTCTACTTCAGTAGGTCGAGTCCCATCTTCCCGTCACCGACGTCAAAATTTTAAAATGCCAGAAAATCAAAGAAAAGGAGAACAAAACCGCAAGATATGGGAAACATATGCCGAACTTAAAAGTGGGGTGATTTTTCCCAAAAAGAACACTAAAACAACTAACAGGGATCACCAACAGGCACAGAGAATCTTTAAGGAAAAGTTCACTCAACCCAGACAGGTCAGTGCAGTGTTCCCTCTAAGCTGAGTTAGTGTGAGCTAAAGGTAAAGGTTCCCTTGCTCGAAAGCCAGTCGAGTCCGACTCTAGGGTTGCGGTGCTCATCTCCGTTTCAAAGCCAAAGAGCCAGCGCTGTCCGAAGACATTTCCGTGGTCATGTGGCCGGCATGACTAAACACCAAGGTGCACGGAACGCTGTTACCTTCTCACCGAAGCGGTACCTATTTATCTACCTGCAATTTCTTGCTTTCGAACTGCTAGGTTGGCAGGAGCTGGAACTAGAGACGGGAGCTCACTCCGTCATGCAGCACACTCGGGTCTCGAACTGCTGAACTACCGACCTTCCACAGCCTGCAGTTCAGCGTCTTAACCACTTGAGCCACCGCAGCTCCTCTTAGTGTGAGCTAGCTCACAGTTTTTTAGCCTCCAGCTCGCACATTTTTGCCTTAGCTAAGGAAGGGACGGCTCCAGAGCAAACTAATCAATGCAGTAGCCAAATTCCTCGCTCACCACTTTAATGCCAGTAGCTCACAAAGTAGAATTTTTGCTCACACGACTCCACAGCTTAGAGGGAGCATTGGTCAGGTGGGAGCTGTGTCACTCTTCAGCGAGCAGCCCCGAAAAGCTGGTGCAAAGCTTCGCAAAAGGAGAGAGAAAAAGAGTGCACACGTTGGGTGTCCGGCTTCTGCCACAGGGTAGTCCAGAGTAGCGTTTCCCAACTGGTGGGCCCCCAACCCCAAGTGGGTTGTGAAGCCTGTTGAAGTGGGTCCGAGGTATTTGCAGTTTTATGGCTGTGTGCATGGGTCTCCATACCAAAGAGTTTGGGAACTGCTGGCCTAGACCGCAAAGGGGGAAGGGCAGAAGCTGCTGAAGTTGCGACCTGTCAACCGCAAGGGGACGCAAAGGTTGCCTTTGGATATTCAGAAATCAGGAGGATGCCGACGCTCGAGCAACACTGATGCACCAAGTGAAACGTTTATTTTGGCAGGTTTAATTCTTTTATACAAAATATCTTACAATTTAAAAACATTTCTCCCCCAACAACGGCAACAAAAATCATATACATATATTTATAAGAGCCAATTACACAAAAGAGGGGGCAACCATATTATGCACAGAGAAACCCAACCCCCTTCCCCCCCCCTTCTTTACAAGAACAAAATGGCCAAAGGATCATTAATTAAGGGGTACCTTCGGCTACCTCTGAACTACATTTTCACAGATCTCGAGGGAAGCTGCGGTGGGAACTGGGCAGGAAGCGAGCACCAGAAGTGGAGCGTCTATCTCCTTCTCGGCTATGGAGGCTGACAAGGGTCAATCATTGACAACCGCTCAGCTGGTGCAGTGCAGCAGGGGGAAACCGCTGCTTAGCTGAGCCTCAGCCCCTCTTCGCCAGCCTCAGCCCCGTGTCCCACACGACTTCTGCAACTTAAGGCGAATCAGACTGGCCTTGGGGTTAAGGATTACCAAGACCACAATAATGCTTAGCAGTTTTATAAAGTGCTCCTGAGGTGTTCCAAGCACTCGAAACACATCACCTAACCTACCTATCAGAACTTTCATCAGCTGCTTAAAAATCAGCAAAAATCACAAAGAGACCAAGAAAGGGGGCTGGTTAAGAGTTAAACGAAAGAGTAAGAGGCTGGCTGCTTTCCTAAGGCCTCCTTCCTGTTGTATAAGGGGGGGGGGGAATTGCACACATGTTTAGAAAGCCAATTACATGGAGGAAGGAAACTGTATGCAAAGAAGGGAGAAAATATCCCCTTTGACTTTACAAGAACAAAGCGGCCAAAGGATAACTAGCCAGAAACACACGTGCTTCACCTCTGCATAAACAGACCTAAACCAGACTTGTAGGTATGATCGTCTTCTATGCAAGACGCCCGATTGCAATGGAAGGATTATAAACCTAACGGGCAGCCACAGAGATCAGGCGGGAGGGTGCAGAAAAGGAACGCTTGAGGGGCGTTGGCATTTTTAAAAGAGCTGGAAGGAGAGTCACGGGAGAAGGAAAAGACTGAAACAGAACAGGCCCGGAGGGAGGTCCAGGCATGGACTGAGAGGCCCACCTCCACCTGGACGCCTCCGTGCTCCATTTGCATCTGCCCTACCTGCATGCAGAGTGGGGAGCCATCCCATCCCATCCAAGAATAGTTTCCTCTGCTGCCAGCATTAGTGAAGACGTCTAAACGTCTGCATGCTTGACAGCATCAAATGTCAGTCTGCACACCCTACGTACAAATAAGAACCCAAGAACCGGGGATGCTCCGGTTATCTCCGCTGGCTCGGCGAAATGCTCTGCCTGCTCACTGTGATGAGGAACCCCCAACCCCATTGGGCTCCTTGCAAGAGGCCCATGACCCACTCGTGGGGCTCCCCTTTCGCATGCTCGAAGGGCCCAGTGCGACACAGGGCAGCCAGGACTTCTCTCTCCCCAGGAGTCCCAGGAACACTGCTGGTGACAAAGACACCTTGAGGGGGGTGGTGTCTTCATTGACTGTATCAGTGTTATCTTAAAACACAAATGCTGCCTAAACAGAATCACAGAAGCTTTAAACGGCAGCTGACCAGTTTTGGGGGGATATGCTAAAGGTGGCAACTTCTCACACTGCCGTGCCTAAACCTTCCACTGCAAACGACGTGTCCTGGATTACTCTTACATTTAAAAAGAGCACGTGCATACAAATGCCGGTCAAATATCTGGCAAGTGTGATGTGTTTCGGCACCTGTGTTTGTGGCATGGCTCCAGGCCTGTGTTCCTCTGTAATTTTTTAAAAAATTGTTAATCATGAGGGCAATTAAGACATAATAGCCAAAGCCTCTGGACCTCAACGGTGCTTTGGTTCCCCCACACACCTGGCTCCTCCCTCTCCCCCCCACTCCTCTGAATACATTCTTGCTCACGTCGGAAGGGAAAGGGAGTTGATATTCCCCCCCCCCTCACCATTACTGAGAGTATGCCGCTCCGGTGCTTCCTGAAATACTTTTAATCACTGTGTGCCGTACCTGTAAGGTTAGCAGCGCTTTGGAAGACGGAAGCCCGAAATTCCACATCATGATTCATCTCTCGGGGAAAGAACCTTTAAACAGAATCGGCGTGCAGGGAGAAGCACCCAGATCACC